AAAAAAAAAAAAAGAAATAGAGTGTTGGCACTGTAATCCTCAAGAACAGAATGGCAGCCTAGGAGCTCAGAGATAATGTTAAATGTAAGTAAAGACTTGCTCAGGAAAGATGAACTCTACTTCACGTGATCCTTTACCAAATCTGCACTAGAACGCCCTAAAAATATTGGTGACCTCATTTTGAATTCCCTTAGATTAGAAATATAGTGTTCACTTGATATCCTTGCTTTGATCTTCAACATAAGCCAGTGTATCTCTTTTGGGGTTTGCCCAACAAGGATGACAAGATGCGTTGAGGAACTACCTCAGCCTATGTTTCAAAGACTGGCTTGGGTACATAGCAGCCCTCTACTGACACCCATGAGAAAGTCACATGTGGCTCTGAGCTTGGGAAAGCTCTATTCTAGGTCTCTCCTACCACGAAATTTATATGTGATTCCACGTGCATCTTCTGGGTTATTGTTAAAATGGCTGTTGTAAAGAAGCTCCAGGTTTAATGGAAAATGGAACAAGTCCCATCACTGGTCCTTTCTGGTTATGAGTCATTGTGAGCATATTTCCCAGCCTCGCTACTCCTGGTCTCCCTTAATTGCTTTTTCCTTTCTACATTTATGCATTTGAATTGGTAACCAACCCAATTTGGAACTTACAGTTTTGCTGCCCATCATCTTTCCTTTAGAGGACAAGATTCTAGAATCTGCTTCTAACTTCACCCATGCTAAACACACCTAAGGGTTTTCTGATCATTAAGCCTTAAGGATTCTCTGATATTTAGGCTAAATGCTATGCAACCTGCTTCGGTCCACTGTCCACTCAGCCTTCAATGACAGAGCAGACAGGTTAGAACACTGATGACAGGAAACACCATGGGAGAAATAGTTTGCTTAAACGAAACTTAAAGGGAAGTTAGGTTTGGGGAGGAAAGACCATCTATTTTCTCCCATTGTTATGGATTTTAGGATTTTTTTTAATTAAAAAAATTGCATATATTATTTTTTTACATCATTCTTCATTTTGTGCATTTTTCATCTCAGTTGTAATTCCCATAGGATTTTTTAAAAAGAGAGGTAAATAAGAAACAAAAGAAGAGATGGCCTAGTCAAATCTTGTACACATGCTGATGACAAGCACTCGAGGGATAGTCATTATCTACGGAATGCTATGTACCTTGTCTCTTTGAATAACTTAAAATATAAATAAACCTGGGATTTATACATGTACATAACATGGTTCATTGGGGAATATCATTTACACTATGTCATTAGTGGGCTATAAAGAAGAAATATTTTGTAACTGAAGAGGTTCCTATTGTACATGTGATATCCCAAATTTCTCCCTGTTCACCCAGATGACCTTAGTCTTTCAATTAATAGTGAAAGTAAGTAGTAAGTATTACTTCTGATTCTTGGATGTCTTTATAGTTTAAGTCATAGACATGAACATTTCATGAAGAATGACCTAATACATTGAAATGAAAACTTGGCCAATAAGCCCCCATTCCTTCCCCAGTAGGTAAGTTTGAGAGGCTTGAATAAATTTGGGAATGAATAGGTTGCTGTGGAAACTGAGTTCTAAACTAGAATAAACACACCAGAGACAGAGTGGGGAGCAGAACAGGCAGATCAATGAAGAACACTGCTAAGGGGTGCAGTGGGTGTGCCAGGAGAGGTCTGCCGTGCCATGTGGTCACCTCTGGGGTGGGGATCAAACTCATGCTGAAGTGGCTTTAGTGAGTGCTATGCTTTAACCTGCTGTGCCATCAGGGAGGGTCTACTTTTTTTTTTTTAATGTGCTGATCAATTACATAATTTAAAAAGCCTATTTCATTTTTTTTTTAAGATTTATCCATTTATACACAAGAACTTGGTCACAGGCCAGAGTTGTGGGGGTGAAGGGATTCACCGTAAGCAGAGTGGGGCACAGAACAGGTGGATCCATTAAAGCACACTGCTGAGGGGAGCAGCTGGCAAGACAAAAGAGATCCACCACACCTTAAAGGTCACCTCCTTGGCCCTCTCTGCTGGCCCAACTGGTTGAAGATAGCACTGTGAGGCTGCCTGCAGCTTCTGCAGCATGGGTTCAATCCAGGCACTTCTAAGCCCTTCATTCACCCTTTGAAGCTGCTAGTCTTGTAACGACAGAGAGGCAGAATTGAGCCAATTTCTGCTGCTGTATTTAACTAGTTACATAACAAAGCCTTTTCCCTCCTGTAGAAACCATTGTCATGGTGTTCAGCTATCTGTGTGCAGTAGGCAAAAGGCCCACATTAGATCTCATTACAATTCTACCTTCCTATCTGAATGATTTTTCAGGATAACCTAATAACCTGATTTTAGAAAAGTTTGATAATATTCTTTATTGCATGTTATTTTTCACTTTCTCTATTTGTATAAATAAAACTCATGCTTGTTTTTCTGTCTGAAAAAGATGACCAACTTGCTATGGAGCAGCAAGTGTGACTTGCTTGTACGTCCGCTAAGTCTGCCTCAGGATACATGGGAATGTCCCATTGCACTGGAAACAATAATTTTATAGGGGCAAAGGGGAAATTTTCCCATACCTTTCTGGGTTTTTCTACACTGCCAAATCATCAAAAAAAAAAAAAAATCAAGCAGATTGATTCCTCTGCACACATGGGAAAACCCAGTAAAACGAAATATTATTCAAATGGCCTTAGTCACAACCTTAAATAAGCTTTGAGTTAAGGTCAGCTAAGACAAAGGGTCTTGAGGGGGAGGGTAACAGTCATGCAGGGATAACCCAGAAAGGTGAGACTGGCTGAGCTAGTGCCACCTGTGGTCTGAGGAACCTGAAACATGGGCGGAAGCTCCAAGGAGCTTCATCAGAGAGCATGAGGGCGGGCATTGCCAGAGTGGTCAAACAGAAGAAGAAACCCCTTGGTTTCTTCTCAGCCTGCCCCTTAGCTGGGCCCCTTTCTTCCCCATCAGGATGTGGGAGAAACCACTGCATGGTGAGGGCAAGGCAGGGGCTAATGTGAGTGGCCAATGTGAAACTGGTTGATGCTGTTCTGTTTGTGTCTGCTCGGCCCTGCATTGCGTCTCTGACTGCCACTACCTACCCAGGCCATCAGGAATGACCTACAGGTGTGGTCCTGGGGCTGGCTTGTCTGGATAACCCTGGGGCAGTGGGGAGTGAGTCAGAGCCTCCAGAGCTTCCTCTACCAGAGCTCTGCCAAAATGGGAGTAAGGCAAAACAGGCTAATTCTCAGATGACCCTTTCATCCTCAGGGCATTAAAATTGACCAAGCTGGGCCCTCTCTGGTGGCGCAGCGGGTTAAAGCACAACACTAAAAAGCTAAAGTCACTTCAGTATGAGTTCGATCCCCACCCCGGAGGTGATCCACATGGCTTAGCAGACCTCTCCTGACCTGCCTGCTGCTCCCCTCAGCAGTGTACTTTGACAGTCAGCCTGTCAATCCCCACTCTGTCTCTGGTGAATCCTCTCACCACCCCTGCAACTCTGGCCTATACCCTAGTTCTGTTTGCATAAATAAATAAATCTTTTTTTTTTTTAAAGATTGTTTATTTGTGCATACAGAACTGGGGTACAGGCCAGAGGCTCAGGGGTGGTGAGAGGCTTCACCAGAGACAGAGTGGGGAGCAGAACAGGCAGACTGACGAAGTACACTGCTGAGGGAAGCAGCAGGCGGGTCAGGAGAGGTCTGCCACGCCATGTGGTCACCTCCGGGGCAGACGGGAATCGAACTCATGCGGAAGCTTCTTAGTGCTGTGTTTTAACCTGCTGTGCCACCAGGGAGGGCCAATAAATAAATCTTAAAAAAAAAAAAAAAATTGAGCAACCTTAAGAGCACCTTTCTCTTGTGTACCTGTTTCTCATCTCCCTGATTTCCTGTATGGCTAAAAGTGAGGTAAAATTGTCAAGAGACTTTGAAGCTACACAAGTTATCATCATCTAAATTATGTAACTACTTAAAGGTTCAACAATGAGGCCCTGAGCTTAACTCCTGACTCTGTCCTGACATGGCCCGGAGCCCTGCTGTTGGTCTGGATGGACTGAATGGGAAAGGGCCAGGCCTGTATCTGCAACATGGCAGTGCTGGCACGTGGGGCCTCAGTCTGGAATCCAGACATCACCTGGGACAAACACTGGAGCAGACCCGATGCAAGGAGCTGCTCTCTTGTGGGAGTGACCTGGAGTCGCTTTCTGGGAATTTGGAGCAGTGAGGTCCCACAATCCAAGCATGTGAAAAAGCAATTGAAATAAACTGAATTCCAAACAATAGGGAACTAAAATCACCAACCAGATACACTGCCAAGTCTACATTCCTTTGCCCTTAATCTGCTCCTTAGTCTTTGTTCTCAACCTGTTCCCCCAAAATCATTCTAACCAACCCTCTTTATTAAACGGGGAGTCAGATTTGAGTTTTGACCTCTGCCTCCTTGCCAGTTTACTTCATAAATAAATTCTTTTTCTCTCCAATACTAGTACTATTGGCCTTTATGCACATGGGGCAGCGAGCCTCCTGTGTGGGAAGATAGCGTGGTCAACAAATGACCCTAACTGTGAGGAACCACTCTTTATATTTATAACATTTGGTTAATCACTTTGAAAAGAATCTCAAAAATTAGAAATAATGTCATTTTGCAAACTTTAACCAAAATAATGGATAGAATCATTACATAAAAGCTTTAAGGGGACATTAAAATGGAATAATCATGTGATCATCACCTGAATTTATAGATGGATCTCAGAAGGAATGACAGCCAAACCAGAAATCATGCACTCAACTACGGAGAGGTGAAGTTGGGCCTGAGACTTACCTTCGAATACTCAAGCAAGATTAATAACTACGCAATGAAAGTGATAGATGAAGAAAGTAGCCATTGTTGATGCCTGCTGAAACTTTGTATTTGGGGTTCATTGTACCATTCTCTCTATTTTGTGCATGTTTTTAAAACTTTACATAATAAAAAATACTAAGGCATACATACCATTTGCCTTAACTGGAAATCAGCTTCTAACAACTTAATTTTGGATAGCAAATCAAAGATAAATGGAAAATCGCAGAAAACAGTGGGTCTTAAGTTTGTTCCAAGTGTCTGAAAATTAAACAGAGATAAGTCTTGGTAAAAGAAAAACTTTATTCTATTACTTTATCACTTTATACTATTCCTTCAATATGTTTTGTAATTTAAAGACTCCAGATTATAAATTGCTAAGAAAATGCATTTGTTTTTGTGAGTAAATGATGTTTGCTTTCAGTGACAATTTAATTTAGTAATCTCAGCATTGCAATGAAGAAATTTTCAAATTTTGATTTATCAAAGAGACAACTACATAGTTTCTAATGTGTCTCCATTTAAGGTATGGAAATTTTCAGAAGTGTAGATGTTATTCTTACCAGTTTATCTTTAAAATACAATCTTCTTCTATCTTGTGAGAAGTCCAAAAGGTTTGAAAGTTCATTTATGTGAAAAGCATTTTCTGGTAGTGGACATTTCGCTTTGTTGTTTACCTTTAAGAGAATATAACCTGGAATTTCATTTTATGTAAAAAATGAGTACCTACATATAAATATATATATATATGACTATTATACAGTCAGAATAGAGCCCCATATAACTAATGTCTTTGTTAATGATAAAGTTTTAAGTTTTATAAAACTTCCACTTTTATCTATAATTTCTCCATTTTTTCAAGATTTATTTATTTATGCATACAAGATCTGGGATGTAAGCCAGAGGTGTGGGGTGTGAGAGGATTCACCAGGGACAGAGTGGGGAGCAGAACAGGCAGAACTACTGTAATACACTGCTAAGGGGAGCCGTAGGTGATACAGGAGAGGTCTATTGCTCCACTTTGGTCACCTCCCTGGCTGGGGATCAAACTTATGCTGCAGTGGCTGCCTATAAATTGATAGCACTATCTTTAACCCCTGCACCATCAGATGTCCCCTTTCATAAATATTATTAAGGATATAAGATATTGGCAATGGAATTAATAAACAAAGTCTTAGGCCACAGTTTTATAGAAAAAGTTTCTTGATCTTAAGTATAAAAGCACCATACAAATACAAGATTTTTAAAAATAAATCTAGCATTTGCTCCATTTATTAATTAATATAAATTTGGTACACACTATTTGTCAGGACTGGTATGAAATACAAGCAAAATTTATTTTGACTTAGATAAACTTACTGTCTGATATAATAGTTAGCAAACACTGTCTTAAATCCAGAGAAATATTTTCAGCGTAACACATAAAGTCACTGGTATAACATGCAACCCTGCCATTTTGTGGCATGTAACAGTTTTTGTGTGTGTGTATGTGTGTTTTAATTATGCATACGGAACTAGGGTAAAGGCCAGAGGTGCAGGGGCGGTGAAAGGATTCAGCAGAGGCAGAGTGGGGAGCAGAACAGGCAGATCGACTAAGACCACTGTTGAGCACTGCTGAGGAGAGCAGTGGTAGAGACAGGAGAGGTCCGCCAAGCCATGTGGGTCACCTCCCTGGCCAGGGATCTAACTGGAGCTGAAGCGCTGTGCTGCGCTCTAACCCATTGCACCACCAAGGAGGGCCTGCATATAACAGTTTTTATAAAGTTCATGAACAAGTGAGTATATATTAATTCTAATACAACTTTATTTACAAACACTGGAAACTGCCTGTTGGTATAGACTGCTGATCTTAACCCATGGTCTAGTAGATAAAAACAAGTTATCAAACATATAGTACACAGTTTCTTATTGCAGAAGGATTTGAGTGGCTCAAGAAGGTTTCCCAGAGGATGCACTAGAAAAAAATCAATGATCTAAATAAACTACATCACATTAAATTAATCCAAAAGACTGAAGGCAGGAATAAGAAATGCAAGAACATATATTAAGGAAATAAAAAGTGCATGCACAAGAGAGTGTAACTAATAAAAAGATTGGTTCTTTAATGGAAAAAAAAAAAAAGCCAACTCCAAAAAGATGATCCAGAATTTTAAAAGGCCAATAACCAAAGTCACAGGTAAAATAACTGGACAAAACTATGGATTGGAATACTTTGTGTTCATTCTAGAAATCCATTACAAATTACCATCTTAAATCTTACAAAGGTTTTCACTTTTTAAGTCTTCAAATATTTCATGCCAAATGTTATCCCCTTGCATACTACTGTTTTATTTTTGTCTTTGTGTTTTTTTTTCCTTTTATACACTAAGTATTTTTTCTTCAAGTTTCCTATTTATCTTCTTAACACTCCAAATGGCCATTCACAAGAGCATCAAGACCAATATGATACTTAGGAGTAAATTTAACAAAAGAGATGAAAGGTCTCTACAGACATAACTATAAAATTTGATGAATAAATGGAATCTATTTCATAGATTAAAGGATTAATATTGCTGAAATGTTCATGATATCTAAAACCATCTCTAAAATGCAAAGTAGTTCTTTTCAAAATTCCAGTGACTTTTATTCAAGAAATAGAAAAGACAATTTTAAAATTTGTATGGAAATACAAAAGATCCCAAAGTTAAAAACCATATTGACAGAGAAGAACATAGCAGGAAGAATTTGCAACTATAATACAAAGCTACCACAATAGTATGGTAACTGGCATAAACATAGACTCATAAAAAAAAATGTAACAGAATGGAACTCTCTGAAATACACCCATGCATGCTTTACAATATTTGACAGGGAAACTAGGAATACTCAATGAGAAAAAAATAATCTCTTCAGTAAATACAGCTCCCACAACAGGAAACCACATGCAGGAGAATGAAATATACCTCTATTTTACATCACTCAAAAAATTAACTCAAATGCATTAAAAATTTAAACATAAAACTAGAAGAATACATAGGGATAAATCTCCTAAATGTAGGTCTTGATAATGATTTTTGGGGCATGACTCCAAAAGTACAATAAAAGTCAATCATCAATCAACAAAATAAAAAGGCAACCTATGGAATGGGTTAAAATGGGATAAAATAAATCAAAATGATGATAAAAGATTTATATCCAAAATAGATGAAGAACTCCTACTACTGAGTAAAAATAAGTAAACAATTTGATTAGAAAAATGGACCGGCCCTCCCTTGTGGCACAGCGGGTTAAAGCACTGCACTGAGAAACTAAAAGCCACCTCTGCATGAGTTCGATCCCCGCCTGCCCCGGAGGTGACCACATGGCGCGGCAGACCTCTCCTGACCCGCCCGCTGCTCCCCTCAGCAGTGTACTTCGTCGATCTGCCTGTTCTGCTTCCGGCTCTGTCTCTGGTGAATCCTCTCACCCTCCGCATCTCTGGCCTGTACCCCAGTTCTGTACGAATAAATAAATAAATCTTTAAAAAAAAATGGACCAAGGATCTGAATAGATTTCTTTCCAAAGAAAATAAATTAATAATCAACAGGTACATGAAAAGACGGTCTAGGGTCCTCCTTGGTGAAAGTGTTTGAAGTGCAACACTAGGAAGCTCTCTGTAGCCACTGCAGCATGAATGATCCCTCGCTGGGAAGGTGACCCACATGGCACAGCAGACTTCTGTCTCGCCTGCTGCTCACCTCAGCAGTGTATTTCAGTCGATCTGTCTGTTTTGCTCCCCACTCTGTCTGAATCATCTCACCCCCCCACCTCTGGCCTATACCCCAGTTCTAGTATCCATAAATAAATATTTTTTAAAAAAGAAAAGATGGTCTACATCACCAAACATCAGAGAAATGCAAATCAAAACTAAAATATGATATCACCTCATACCTGTTAAAATGATTATCACCAGAGAGATGATGTAATGATTGTTGGGGAGATAGTGGAAAAAACAGAATCCTGAACACTGTTGCTGGGAACACTGCCACTATGAAAAATAGTACAGTGGTTTCTTGAAAATTAAATATAGAACCACCATGTGATCCAGCAATTTCACTTCTGGGTTTATACTGAAAGAAAATGAAATCACTATCTCACAGTGATAAATGCAGCTCCAAGTTCACTGAAACGTTATTTACAATAGCCAGTACAGAAAAACAACCTAAGGTTGTGGGCAGGTGAACGTATAATGAAGATATAAATGTATATACACACACATGCTAATGGTGGGATATTATTTGGCTATGAGAAATGAGAAAATGCTGTCATTTGCTACAACGTAGATAGACCTTAAGGAATCTATGTGAAGTGAAGTAAGTCGAACAGAGAAAGACAGATGCTTTATGATATCACTTTAAATATGAAATTTTTAGATTCACAATTCCTAGAAACAGACAGTAGAGTGATGGTTCCAGAGACAGGGAGTGGGAAAATAGGATATTGTTCAAAGCGTACAAACTGCTAGTTATGAGTAAGTTATGGAGTATGGTGATTATAGGTAACAATATCATTCTACATACTTGAAAGTCAGTAAAAGAAAGTAGGTATTGAAAGTATTTTCACCACAACAAAGTAATTGTAATTATGTGAGGTGATATAGATGTTAGCTAAAGAAAGCACTGGCGGTAATTATTTTTTAATATGTAAGTATATCAAATAAAGTATTGTACATATTAAGCTTATGCAATGTCATATATTAATTACATATCAATAAAGCTGGTATTTGGAAATATCAATACATTAGCACTTCTGAGAAGTGCTAATCTGAGTCTGAGGTACTGTTTTTGTATATAATATTTTTCTTCTTGTTGAGATTGGCATTTTTACAGTAAGATTTACTTTCATTGCCATTTAGCGACTTACATTAGTAAATTCATCATTTACATCATTATTAGTTAATTACTACATCATAATTTAGTTAATTTTTAATTGAATACTACCAATTTACGTCTGCTGTTTTATTTAAAACGTTTTAGCTCCTGGCCCTCCCTGGTGGCGCAGTGGGTTAAAGCACAGCACTAAGAAGCTAAAGCCACTTGAGCTAAGTTCCATCCCGGCCTGGGAGGTGATCCACATGGCGGGGCAGACCTCTCCTGACCTGCCCGCTGCTCCCCTCAGCAGTGTACTTTGTCAATCTGCCTGTTCTGCTCCCCACTCTGTCTCTGGTGAATCCTCGCATCGCCCCTTCACCTCTAGTCTGTACCCCAGTTCTGTATGCATAAATAAATAAATCTTAAAAAAAAAGTTTCAGCTTCTTACTATCCCCCAACAATCATTAGGTATATTAGTAGGATAACCTTAGGCTACTTCAAGATTATGTTGTGCATTCTAATAAAAATGCTGAATCACTTTAATATTTAATTGTTTGCACATCAGTATAATGTATCTTTTCAGTAAAACAAGCAAAATTTCAAATTAATTAAGGCTGAAAAATTCTGTTGCAGAAAATAAAACAAGACACCAAATTGGCTACAGTCTAAGGCATTCTGATTTGTGAAATGGTATGTGCATTCCTTTAGATGAGCCTTACCTTATACACCTGTTTCATCACTCCCAGCAGAGTTTTAGCATCACTGTGACACTCCTGGTCGTCAGTCCAGTTTTCCAGCAGAGTGGCGATGGCAGTTTTAAGCATTTGAACCAATGTGTTGAGACAAGAGGCTTGCAAAGATGCCCAACATTGATCTGAGGATAAACATCAACAATAAATATGCACCTTCCCAAAACTCTGTTTCTGCTGAGTTCTTTAATATAAGAAATTGATTTTCCATGTTGGATGTCATGACCCATGAAATACCTTTTCTAAGGATATCATCCTAGATATTCATTACAAGTGTGGGGAAATTATTCCCAATTATCATTGAAATGAAAAGCTCCAATAAAGAATTCCTCATCTTTATGTTTAATTACTTCATTAATTTCATGGTTTTCAAACTAAAATTCAATCTGAATATACTCATTCTGAAATTTGCACACACAGAGACACACCATGTCAACAGACATTTTCAGTTTGTAAAAAAATAGTACTACTCATTTTTTCAGACTTTATGAATACCTGTTATATACAGTTGTATTTTTAAAATTAGCTCAATAATAGTATTTTGCTACTAATGAGGTTACAAATTGGAATTTGGTATCTTTAAATGATAATCCTAGGAAAATATACCTATCAAATATTAAAATACATTTGCAAACTAATGTAATTCAAATATACCATATGATGCAGATCAATGTAATAGAAATTGCATAAATGAACCCCAATACATAAGATTTTAGTATATTTTAATGATGGTACTGCATATTACTGGGGGATGAAATAAATGATCATTCAATAAATATATGGGTACAATTTAACACTGACCAGAAAAAATTAAGCTTCATAAAGATGTCCTCTGTATGGAACAGTGATTTAAACATAAAAATGAAATAGTACACATATTCTAATAAGAACATGGGAAAAAACATTAAACTTCAAAGTGAGGTAAATTTTCCATGCATGACCCAAATTCACAAGCCATAAAAGAAAATGTTAATATAATGGATGCATAAAATAGTTATGCATCAGGAAAAAAAATCACAAAGTCAAAAAAAGTTAATAACCTAGATGAAAAAATTGCTGCTTACATTAATTATAAAGGACTAATTGCCTTAGTAGCTTAAATGCTTCTAGGTGAAAAAGAAAGATATGAAAAACAATTGGAAAAATGTGTAGAAAGGAATTGATAGTTCCTGTACTGTGTTCCACAATAATAAGTAACCTTATTTACCATGAGAAAATTAAAATTAAGAGGTTATTTTTTCCAGAATACCACAGTTTAATAACAGTGTAGTATGTGCCCAACTCTTAAGTGTACACTTTACTTAGAACTATAAATTGAGTGGTGGCCACTTACAGTTGGACACCAGGGTGGCTGTGGTTTCTATGGAAGGTCACTTGGCAAAATCACTCAAAGTTAAAAATGTACAAATGATTTCACCCAGTAAATTTTGTCTTCTGGTGTTTGTCTGTTTAATAAATTGACGTATGTACAAAGAAATACAAGTTAGTGCTGTAAAAATTGCAAAAATTCAGAAACAGCTATTCATCATATATTCTAGCACTAGAGTATCAGTCAGCTATGAAATAGAAATGGCAATTCACTGGATACTGTAACAGAATCATGTCCATGATATTTTGTTAAATGGGAAAAATCAAGTTGCCAAAGAATAGGAGTGGTGCTACCATTAAAAAAAAAATACATTTCTATGTTGCAGGTTTTTTTAAGTAGGTGAAATATCATTTAAAATTTACACAACAAAACTACATTCTGTAAGTTCTTTCTGAGAGGGGAGTTAGATGGGTTCCATTTCACTGTATATATTCTCTTAACTTTTAATCGTGATACTTAAACATTAGCTTAAAATTGTAGAAGTAAACTCCATTGCAATGAACAACAACATAAAAAGTACACAAAGTGACATTTGTTTTCTTAATCACCTATGGTCAAAAAATCTAACATTTTAAAATAACATGTTCAAAAATCTTAAATTATAGATTTATCTTGTCTGGATCCTCAATATTTTTCAACCTGTTACCAAAGCTACATCCAAGACTGAGAATTACATGTGCTTTGTAAGGCAATGGTAATAATTGTAAAAGTACTGGTCAATCTTTTCAACAATTGAATACCACATGTTTAAAGATGTGTGTGCTGCGAAATCTATCCAGAGTTTGCTACAACTTCTACTTTAGACTGTAACTCAACTGAGAACACAGATAATGTGACATAAAAGTAATCAAACTTACTTATGACTGACGAAGATTTTTTGCTCATTTTACAAACAGCCTCTGCAAATGGCACCACCAGTTTCTTCCAGTTACTAGAATCATGCATCACAGGACATTCTGGGAGCATAAGGAAAACTGATAATGCTTCTTTGTGTGGAGAACAACATGGAAGATCTCTTAGCAGATTTTCACTGAGACATGTAGTTATCTGAGGTTGACAGAGGATCAGGGAAAGGCCAGGAAATGTTAGATCCAGAATACAGTGATAAACAAGCTATGGGATTAGGGGTTCATAATGCCACATTCCATTTGTAATAATCTTTTAGTTTCCCTCAAACTTATTCAAACTGATGATTCCTTGTTTCCAAAATGACCCTGAGTACTACAGGAGAGCCATGCTCTCTATTTACACTGGGCTGCACAAAAGAAACAAAAGAGTCACATGAGCACAGATATCCTGAATGAGTTGTGGATGTTGCTCAACTATTAATTGACAGATCAGGAATCTCTACTCATAGCTAGCTGACCTAAAATCTACCTTGACAGAGAAAATGCCAATCCAGCTTTCTTTTTCTCCTGAGATTTCAGGCAGACTTCCAGGCCTCCTGGGTTGTTGGGTGAGGCCAGGAGTGCTGGCTAGTGAATATGACTGATGCTGATACTTCATATTTCCAGGCATGGCCCATAAAACCATCACAAGACCTGCCATGTTCTCTTTTTTTCTCACCTGCCAACCAAACAGAAAAAATCAGCTGGAGGATTTCATGACCCCAGGGCTGAGAACTCCAGAAGGAAGGAGCCTTTGCCACCCTGAAGAAAGCTTTGCAGAGGTCCCAGCCAGGGAGCTGACCCACATGGCACAGCAGACCTCCCCTGTCTTGCCCGCTGGTCCCCTCAGTAGTGTATTTCAGTCAATCTGCTGGGTCGGCTCCCCACTCTGTCTTTGGTGAATTATCTCACCCACCACACCTCTGGCCTGTACTCCAGTTCCTGTATGTATAAATAATTTTTTTAAAAGAAAAACTAGTTTTCTTTTGGTGATGACATCATAGAATCTTTGATTACTATTGTGCATGATGACTCAGTACTGCCAATGTTTTCTCACTAAGAGAACTTTTTCATGGATCAGTCTGTGAAATTAAAGCTCCTTGAAATGTGTACTACCATATCATCTAAAGTTATTTTGAAAATATACTTGAAAACATTTACTTCATCTTTAAAATAAAAATGTAGTCTCTAATGCATCTCCAGGAACACTCTTCCTCTTTCCTTTCCAAATATAGGAGCTCACTCAGACAAACCAAAAAATATATATACCAAAAGGATATAAAGGTGACAAAATTGAAGGCACCTGAGATACAGCTAATGGGCAAAGAAGTCTCACACTTTATCTGACTAGATGCAGAACTCCCAACTGTGAAGCAGCATAATTCCTTTTGCAGGCAGATGGGTTTCACTGCCAGGAAGATTTGGATGAGAAATTTCAAAAATGAATATTATCACAAGTTGTCATACTTCCATCTTCCTAAAAGCTAAGTTCTTCCCTAGAAGTCCCACTTGTTTTCTCAATGAAGCTCTTTCTTCTCCTTCCTGTTCCCTTTGCTTATCAGAGCACCTTTTCATCAGAATGCTTCCATATCCTCTTAAATTGTAACAGGGCAGTCCTGTTACAATTGGAAAAAGGGAGGTTCCAGGTTCCCAGCCCCACCAAAAGGAGGGTGTAGCTGAGCAAGGAGAAGAAGTGGCTAGAAAGGAGACTGGGGAAGGAGGGAAGGATGGGTAAAGATGGGGAGGCACAGGGAGCCGACATGAGAAGAACCTTGGTCCTGGACTGGTGAAATGTGAGTGAGAGACTTGTGAGGAGGTTAACAATGGCAGCCTTTTTCTTGATTTTGATGTTGCTCTTTTCCTTCCAGACCTGTCTGATTGTTTCTCACCCTTTTCTATGGGTCCCCACTGGAAGGGGCCTTCAACTTGTGACAGGCTTTTAGGCCTAAATGATCCTGCTTTGGGCCAACCCTGTTTGGCTGGGCATTTACCCACAAGTGGATGGGTAATTTCAGGCACTTGATTTGAAAACTAGAGTCTTTGTCTTTTCTGTACTACACACTAATTGTATTAAAGTTTCTTTCCATTGAAGGTCTTACTAGAGTAGATTTTGTCTTGATATGGCAAATGGCACACTTATTTAGATTGGGCAGGTTTGAGGGTTCTGGGGTGCCCCTCACCAGACTCTGTAGCAGAACTACACTAGTTTTATTGTCCTTTTGTAACAAGTGGTCCACAGGAAAAGGGAAGTTTCCAGGTTCCTGCCCCACTCAAGGAGGCAGAGTTGAGCAGGGAGTAGAAAAAGGAAAAGGCTAGACTGAAGAAAGAAGCAGGATGCAGACAGATACCTGAGGGAGGTACACGGAGCAGCCAGACATTCGAAGCAGCAGCTCTTGCTTCTTTGCCTTGGACTGGTTGAAACAGATGTAGGTGAGATACCCAAGGGAAGGTTGACTTTGGCAGTTTTTTTTTTTTTTAAAGATTTATTTATTTATTCATATGGAACTGGGGTACAGGCCAGAGATGCAGAGGGTGAGAGGATTCACCAGAGACAGAGCGGGGAGTGGAACAGGCAGATCAAGGAAGTACACTGCTGGGGGGTGCAGTGGGCAGACCAGGAGAGGTCTGCCTCGCCATGTGGATCTCCTCCACGGCAGGTGGGGACTGAACTCATGCGAAAGTGACTTAAGCTTCTTAGTGCTGTGCTTTAACCCAGTGTGCCACCAGGGAGGGCCTGACTATGGCAGTTTTTAATCTTGATTTTGATTTTGCTCTTTTCCTCCCAGACTTGTCTGGCTGTTTCTGACCCTTTTCTATGAGTCCCCTCTGGAAGGTGCTTTAGACTTGTGGTGGGTTTTTGGGCCTTGCTCTGGGCCAATCCCATTTGGGTGGACTTTTACCCACAAGGGGGATGGGTAACTGTGTGTTCTTGATTTGGAACTATATTTTTTTTCCTGTTTTTTTTAAATAATTGCACTAAAGTTCCTTCCCATTAAAGGTCTTACATGGTTTGTCTTTATGTGGCAGATGGCAGAACTTAGTTAGAGCACGTAGGTTTGAGGGTTCTGGGGTGCCCTTCTTGCCATGTAACATTTTGTCTGTGATCTATTGTCCAGTCTCTTCTTTGTTAATGGAGTATTCCTGAATCAGTGAAACTAAATTTGTACAAGGATACATAAGTTGGAATGGGGAAAATTTTCTCCTTAACACAACACAGAATCACAAAATATTGTACTGGAATAGAACTTACAAACAACTTACAGTGAAGTGTCAAATTATCAGGGGGCTTGAAAATAGCCTTTGTTACTTGAGGTAACCATATACCTCCTTTTAAACACCCTTTCCTGACCCCATCTTGATGTCTGTTCAGCTGAACTCAGCAAACAAAGCAGATCTTTATCTGGGGTATGCAAACTACCATTTCCTCTTACTTTTTTGCCCAAGCTGAATAAAAACCCATAGCTCATGTTGCTTGGGCTCAGTCCTTTGGGAACTATCCCCCTGAGATCACCAGTATGGTGAATAAATCTCTCTCAGCACCTCTGAGTGCCATCTGGTTTCTTTGTGAAATTGCTGTAACAGTAGAAAAAAAAAATGTGACCCAATGAGATAAGAAATGAAAACAGGCAGAGATTCCATCTCAATTAGAATTGAAATTCATCTCAAATTAGGGGCCCTCCCTGGTGGTGCAACAGGTTAAAGCACAGAACTATGAAGCTATCCCCAGTCACTGAAGCAAGAGTTCAATCCCTGGCCAGGAAGTTGACCACATGATGCAGCAGACCTCTCCTGTCTTGCCCGCTGCTCCCCTCAGCAGTATATTCCGGTAGTTCTCCCTGTTCTGTTCCCCTCCCTGTCTTTGATGAATCTTCTCACCCCCTGCACCTCTGGCCTGTACCACAGTTCTTGTATAAATAAATAAATCAATCTTTAAAAAATCATCTATAATTAGAAAACAGGCTTTCAGAATCCCAATACAGGAGAAGATAATTCTGCTTCTCTAAACCAGTGCACTTTACATATATCATGCTAGTGATTATTTATCTCTCAACAAATAGCTTCTTACATATTGGAAGAAATATATTATTATATACTATGCCTTTAAATTTCAAAAATAAAATAAACGCCACCACTTAATACAGTCTCTTAATAATAGTAGCCTCACAATAAACACTAATCCTCTTCCCTATCAGTTTCCTCTCAGGTAACAATAAAATTCAACTGCAACTCTATAGGTTCCTCTAAACAAATTCTATCGCTCTATTCTTTTAGGTAAACATTGGTTATTACCAGGGAAGAAATCCATTTCTTTTTTGTTAAATTCTCGAAGGTATCTCTTGCCATTTCCAAGTCCACATCACTGGAAAGCATTTCTCTAGACCCTCTTTGGATACAAGATATGCAAAAAGTTACAAAACAAATGTGGAGGAATTTATCTGAACATATATCATTATTGTTTTATTTGTTACATATCACATGCAAACTTAAAGTTTGCCTCCTTTCAAAATAATTCATTTGGCATAAAAAATGTTATACACTTTCTAAAAGAGAGTAGGTAATGAAATAAAAGAGTTGTCAACAGCTTATTATCCCTAGAGTAGTTACAAGAAGTTACAAGAAATTTAGGCAGCAATAACAGTAAAATTTTATATGCTGTGATCTAGATCCATTTTCCCTTATCAGCCTGCCCATTGAGAATTGAAATTCCCTACCTGCCCCTTGCCTTCCTGGGAACATTTGCACTACTTCGGGATTCCACTGTTTTGCTAACATGACTTGGTTATCCAAGTCAGGCAAATGATTTAATTTGTTCATTATATAGGGACTCCTGAATATACTCTAACTTTTTAATAAAAGCATTAACAGACATTCTGTGTCCTAAGGTCATCTGAATCTTTGGCCACAAAACCCTGCCTCCATATTTCCACTCATCTTGGAGGGTTGCGTTTTGCCTCCAGTACTAATCACTCCCTCAATCTCCCCATCACCACCATTGTCTAGGACTAATGCTTCTCTGGGTTGTGTTGGTTATATCTGAGAAGTCTATATTCTGCTGAACAGTTTGCTGTATTAACAAATCAACTGTAAAATTAGGACTAAAACACACAGGCATTGAAACAAAGTATTTTAAATTTCTCATATTCATTTTCCTTTACAGACCGGCTATTTTAAAAGCAAAGCTTGAGGTTAACACTCATGGAAAGTAGGCATGGATACTTTTCATTTTTGAAATAGTCTTAGTATAGAAGAGATATGTCTATAAATAATAAGGATTATGCTGAAGCTAGAGAACAGAAAAACTAGGACACTATATAATAGTCCCTCCCTTTCTGGCTGAAGAATATCTAGAAAAGGAAGGCAAGCCTCATAAACAGCCAGAAGGAAGCCATGCCTTTTAACTTTTCCAGGCTTCTCCAATCTGACAGTTCTCCACTCCCTCAGAGGAGTCACTGAGATTACAGCCTGGTTAAAAACAGCAAGGGCCACTGCCGGGTTGGTAGGAGCAAGGAATACCTGCAAATGAGTTAAGCTAGAGCCACCTAGTGGCCAGGAAAGGTACAAGATATGGAACAACTAGCAAACCAGTGAGCTTTCCCAGGCCAAATCAACAAGGAAGGAGTGGGACCTGATTTGGCTAAGAACCACCTGAATGAATTACAGAACAGCAGGGCACCGACCTCAGGTGAAAATAGAGGGCCACCTAAGGGCCCCTTTATGTTGGCATATCTCCTTCTCCTTCCTTATATACTGTCAAATTTACAAGGAGCTCATTTTACGAAGATGGTTTGCTTGCATAAGCAAACCCAAATCTAAGCCTGTAAGCCTCTAAGTTAATCAAAATCTAAAGACAAGCTATCATAAATAACCAACTAGCTACAAGAAGTAAGCAATCAAAAGCTTTCCTTGCTTTGCTTCTGTATCTTCGTGATCATGGTATCTCCCCTGCCAGGTAAGAATAGCTTCTGTATCTTTATAGAAGTCTTTCCCCAAGATTCCATCGAAGCAGTATCCTTAAACACTTCAGGTTTGGATCTGCCCATTACAATGATGGTTGCTCAGGTTAATTTTTTAGTATGCCTGAGTTTATCACCTTAGACTTGCCACACAGTGTTGTGTAGCATAGAGGGAGGAAAAGAAATAGAAGACCAAATGTTGAACATTTAGCAAAAGAATTGTTTAAACTACTGAATCAGGCCAAATGTCAAATAAGATATGGGAGAAGTTAGGCTTTCCTCTATAGAGAAAAGACTAGCTAAAGATAAAAGAAATAGGATTTATTTTCCTTATTGGTCCCACTACAATCAACTGGTAAGTGCAACCGTGGCCTCTCATTTTGAACACAATGTTAGATTGAACTGAGGACTGAATGCTGAAAAAACACCACTCCTTCTGATCAGATAAGACAGGAGGGCAGGACAGAAAAGCAAACAATGTGAATTAGAAATTACAATTTACCATGAATGGTCTAGTAGAAAATGGAAGAATTCTTTAACAACTAATGGAATGACATGTTGGATTTCTTTCCAAGTGAACACTTCACAAATTAAAAAGACTAAGTCAAAATATTTCATTTTAAATATTCCGCAGTAGTTTAAAAGAATGTAAATATTACCTTTTCTTTAAAAAACTTGCAGTCAGACAAGCAGCAGATGAAAATATTGTTCTAATTTCACTGTGAAGGTAATATCAAAAATTAAATCACAACATACTATAAAACATGCATTCTTTTGTCTAGTGTCTGAATATCCAGCAGATTAGGTAGAATCATTATTAGTGAATATTATTCTCTCCTAAGTGTTTCCCAAATTCTGGGTATGTTTTGTAGGTTACTGCTAAGTCTCACTCAAAGCCTGACAAGGTGATTTATCAAGTCATGCAGGTTTAAACAAAATCCAAAATCGTCTTCCATAATGAAGACCTTTGAGACAGAAAGCATCTCTGATTCCTTCATCTTCTTCCCTCACCTACCAAGGTACTTGGGATATTGTATATGTTCAATATACTTCTGTGAAATGAACAATGAATGAATAAATACAACACTAATTTCTTCAAAGTAGGAGGTAGTAGAAGAGAATCATGGTTAAAATGCAAATACCTTCATAACAAAGCCAAACAAGGATTTTACCAAGAATAAAATGACCAAGATTTCAGAAATAAACCAAAGTGGCTTAAAATGTATCAGATAGAGTCACCTCTCAGCCTCTTTTCGTTCAGCTTTTTTTCTCACCGCCAGCCATTTTTCTATCAGAGACTGGTTAATTCGGCTTATTTTTGGCAGGGTTTTCTTGGAAACATCTGTGGAACTTTTCTTCAAGCAGAAAACAGAGAGAGTGATCAGAAAAATAAACACACACACAACACACACACAAACTTGACTGGTAACTCAGTGACGCTAATAGCTGAGGAGGTATACAGGCCCTTCCCTCTCAGATAGTGGCTTTCAGCAGGAGAAAGTTGGGTAATAGACTGGATTGGCTGTCCAATTTTCTGACTTGGTCATTTGGCCAGAGCCTGACTTTTATCACTTAAAAATGGGATAAGAGGCCCTCCCTGTTGGTGAGCAGGCTAAATAAAGCATAGCATTACAAAGCTAAAGCAACTTTAGCATGAGTTTGATCCCCACCTGGCCCATAGGTAACTCACATGGCAAAGAACTCTCCTGACACGCCCACTGTTCCTCTCAGCAATGTACTTCATAGATCTGCCTGTTCTGCTCCCCACTCTATCTCTGGTGAATCCTCTTACCGGCCCTGCACCTCTGGCCTGTACTCCAGTTCTTGTATGCATAAATAAAGAAATCTTTAAAAAAATTAAAATGGGGGCCCTCCCTGGTGGCGCAGCGGGTAAAAAGCACAGCACTGAGAAGCTAAAGCCACTTCTGCATGAGTTCGATTCCCGCCTGCCCTGGAGGAGATCCACATGGCAGGGCAGACCTCTCCTGACCCGCCCGCTGCTCCCTTCAGCAGTGTACTTTGTCGATCTGCCTGTTCTGCTCCACACTCTGTCTCTGGTGAATCCTCTCACCGCCCCTGCACCTCTGGCCTGTTCCCCAGTTCCATATGAATAAATAAATAAATCTTTAGAAAAAATTAAAATGGGATAACAGAAAAATCTAAAACAGAGACTTATGCAGGTTATGGTATGCAAACATGGATTACAGCATGGTTCATAATAGCCAATAAGATGGAAACAACCAAAGTATCCATCAACAGCACCAACAGATGAAGGTAGAATATTTCAATCTATGGAATGCAATAGAATATCATTCAAAAGGAAGGAAATTCTGATACTGCAACCAGAATGAACTTTAAAAGCATTATGCTAAGTAAAATAAGCCAGATAAAAGTTGACATATATGATTCCACTACATAAAATATATAGAACAAGAAATTCATAAACAGAAAGTTACAAGAGATATGGACAGTTTGGGGGTATTTATTTAATGGTTACAGATTTTTTTGGGGGGAGCGTTGACAAAACTTTTGGGAAGGATAGTGGTGATGGTTGTACCACATTATAAATACAACTAAGAGCACTAAACTGTACACTTAAAAATAGCAAATTTGTGATTAATAAGGATTTTTCCAACTATAAATTAAAAGTGAGCTAACAAGACCTACATTTTTTGGGCTCTTGTTAAGAGAAAATGATATTATATATAAGAAGTCTGTGGAATCGTGGCAGGTGGTGTTTAATAAACACTAGTTTCTTTTTCCCCTTCAATCATCCACAGACTTTTACATCAGTACTTCTTAAACTTGACCATTCATTAGAATCACTAAGTAATGTCATTAAAACACAAATTGTTGGATCCATCCCCACATTTTTTGATTCAATTGATCAAGGGTGGAGATCAAGAATTTGCATCTAATAAATTCCCAGGTTCAGGGGCCACACTCTTGAGAACCATGTTTATATACAATTGTGATAACGCTACCTTAATTTGGTCAGGGGCTAGAGAGAAAATGAACATTCCTGTATAAATCAGCAAACTACAGATCCCAGCAAGCTTTGTATCTCCTGCTGTTTCTACTCTAATGGAGCCAGAAAGGAAAGGGAGTTTCTCCAGTTGTTATATAAGGGATTGGTAATCTTGGAGTTGGGGAAGATTATATCTATCTTATTTGTCTACAAATAACAGAAGAGAGCTGATAGGATCCTATTTGTTGTGAAATAACTACTCAATGTTATTTAAAACTAACACAATATGGGCCCTCCCTGGTTGCACAGTGGGTTAAAACACAGCACTAAGGATCCTCCCTGGTGGCACAGTGGGTTAAAACACAACACTAAGAAGCTAAAGGCTACTTCTGGATGAGTTCAATACCCCCTGCCCCAGAGGTGACCCACATGGCACAGTGAACCTCTCCTGACCAGCCTGCTGCTCCCCTCAGCAGGGTACTTGGTCTCTCTGCAGCCACTGCAACATGAGTTTGATCCCTGTCTAGGGAGGTGACCCACGTGGCACAGACTTTTCTTGTCTTGCCCGCTGCACCCCTCAGCAGTGTATTTCAGTCAGTCTACCTGTTCTGCCCCCTACTCTGTCTCTGGTAAATCCTCTCACTGCCCCTGCACCTCTGACCTATATCCAATTCTGTATACATAAATAAAAATAATTTTTTTTAAGAAAAGAAAAAATTTTAGCACCTCTGAATTGCCACTTTGGGTAAGATGAAAAATACAGTTTTTCATCAGTACAAGGGAGAAAATAATAGCAACTGAAACTGAAAAAAGGGTTAATGGGTCAACCCTTTTGAAGTACTAACATACTGTCATACTATTAACATTAATTATTACTGTTACTATTATTGTTAATGATTTTACTTAATAATAAAAAAATAATAATTTTAGATTTGCGGGTCTCATCTATTAGGCAGCCAAGTAAGGATGTGTGAATTATTGTACATTATGTTCTCTAAAAAGTATCCCAACAGAGGTTCTACTTACTTTAGAATTTGAATATCATAGTATTATTTTTAAAGGAAACAAAAAGTGTAAGAGATACCTGATGAGCTGTCACAAAGTTGGCATATGTTCCAGCAAAAATGTGTTTGACTTGACCACCCGCAAGATCTAAAAGACAGTTATAAACACACAAATATATAAAATACCATTTTATGACTATAAAAATTATTCTTCTATTGTAAACCTGATTGCTTTACAAAATTAAGACTAAAAATATCTGAGGTATTCGCATGCTAATTTTACTTATTTCCTAGGAATTTATATCCTTGTAATGGATTTTGACTACAAAGAGCATAATGTTTTCAGATTATATTCCAAATGTCCACTTAGCTTAATAAAACCTGGTTGCTATACTTGACAAGAGGTTTGATTTACTAGATAGCGGTGTATTTTTCTGATGCCTGAGTAACCAACTGAAGATCTTTTGTATTATTTTAACTTTTATCAATATTTATCTAACACTCCAGAAATGATTACATATTTCAATAAAAAACAGTGCACAATACATCAATTTAAAATAAAAGCACTAATAGAACCATAGTTCTACAGCTTCTATGAAAGAAAGCTGAATAATACTTTCCTTGAGTGGGAGCAATTAACACAAAATCATGAGTCAGTGGGAAAACACATACCCTGAGGAGAAATCAGGCAGCCGATGGCAGAGTTTTCTGTTGAGGCCTCTGGGCCAGTTGGTTTCCTTGTGCAATTTGGTCCACGACCAAAAGATACTACTTGGCCAGTGGTGTAGACATATGCAAGGGTGTGATAACTTTAGGAAGGAAGAAATATAATAAGAGCAAGATACTCTGTTCTTTGTGGAAAAAAAGATGACTCAGCACAAAATAGCAGATTTATCTTATACTAAAAATAGAGATTCCTTATGACAATTTCAGGGTTAAAGGGTATCAAGTGATATGGTAGGTGTTAACTTCTAACTATCCACAAATCTGAAAGATAGAATGGTTTTTATTGTGGTTTCTGTCATTTATGTTTTAAAATGCAAGCACTTTTGAGTTTTTTTTTAATCAATTGGGTAGATAATACTCAAAGTAGGTGCCCCAATACATAAGTTATATAAAACTCTACATAGGTATTCAAATATATAACAACTTCTAATTCGTATGAGATTACCTTAATTTTGTCTTATCAACTCAAACACAGTTACTTTTGTTATAAACCTATCACCCACCTTTAGTGTCTAATAAGGTGGGCTATACACAATAGACTTCTAATAGATTATTTTTAATAATTTTTATGCATACAAGATTTTTTTATGCATACAAGAACTGGGGTCTAGGCCAGTGGTGGGTGGGGGGGGTGAGATGATTCACCAGAGACAGAATAGGGAGCAGACAGATGGATATACTGAAATACACTGCTGAGATGAGCAGTGGTAGAGACAGGAGAGGTCTGCTGTGCCTACAAGAGAGCTCTGCTGTGCCTTACGTGAGTTAGCTCTCCGGCTAGGATCCAACTCCGGCTTCTGTGGCTGGTGATAGTTTGATAGTGCTAAGACTTAACCCCTTAACTCTTGGGACCAGGCCTCCAATAAATTCTTATTATACAAATGCAATGTCTATTTTAAAATGTTTAAATGAGAATTAAATTATATTGAAAGACATAAGTTTACCGAAAGGAAAATGATGTAGAAAAACAATATTTACATATTTTAGGGTTTTTATCCTTTAGGTCCCTGGTAGTATGGGGGTTAAAACACAGCATTGTGAAGCTTTCCACAGAAGCATGAGTTCAATCCCTTGTCCCAGAGGTGACCCACATGGCTCCGCAGATCTCTCCTGACCCGCCCGCTGCTCCCCTCAGCATTGTACTTTGTCATTCTGCCTGTTCTGCTCCCCATTCTGTCTCTGGTGTGTCCTCCCATCAACCCCCACCCCTGCCCCTTGTACCTCTGGCCTGTGCCCAGGTTCCTGTATGCATAAATAAATAAATCTTAAAAAAAAACTTCCCATACTAAAAACCTAAAAAATACAGCCTGTTACCTTCCACAATCGATCTGAGAAACAAGGCCATCAATTCCTTCCACAGGTTGTGGGCCTTTCTTCACCTCAGTGGAGCTGTGGCCTAGCTGTCCATAGCTATTGTCTCCAAATGTGAACACTCTCCTCTTCTGTTTAAAATAATAAGAATCAGATTAATTTCAGGTTAAAAAAAAAGGAACTAAAATTTAAAGGATCAGTTACCATAATAGAGTTATTACAGTCTAAGTGAAATATAAATTATACACAAATAGGAAGCTATCTGCAGCCACTGCAGCACAAGTTTGATCCCCAGCCAGGGAGGTGACCCACATGGTGCAGCAGACCTCTCCTGTCTCACCTGCTGCTCCCCTCAACAGTGTACTTTGTCAACCTGCATGTTCTGCTCCCTGCTTTGTCTCTGGTGAATCCTCTTACACCCCTACACTTTTGGCCTGTACCCCAGTTCTGTATGCATAAATAAATAAATCTTAAAAAAAAAAACAAAACAAACTCTAGCTTTCCCCTGCTGGCTAAGAATAACATAGTCCATATTTGCTTTAAAAAAACAAAACAAAACAATTATTTTTAGATACTTAGTTTTTAAATAAATATTTCATCTACACAAATAGTTTTTTTCAAGCCGATTCCTATGGAATTTACTGTACTGCTAGCAAAAGTAAGAAAAAGAAAGCACTGGGGAAGCCGGGTCATAAATGTGCCATGCAAGATGTGGAACAATGTATGTTCCAGTCTGTAAAACTGGGCTATTGAAAACAATAAAAATTACTTGGTCAGGCCCTCCCTGATGAGACAACAGGTTAAAGCACAGTACTGTGAATCTCTCTGCAGCCACTGTAGCACCAGTTCGATACCTGGCCAGGGAGGAGACCCCAGGAGGTGGCGTGGCAAACTGTTCCTGCCTCACCCACTGCTCCCTTCAGCAGTGCATTTCAGTCAATCTGCCTGTCCTGCTCCCCACTCTCTTTCTGGGTAAATCCTTTCACCCCCATACCTCTGGCCTGTATCCCAGTTCTTGTATGCATAAATAAATAATTCTTAAAAGAAAAAGACTTTGTTGCCTCCATCATAATTTCATCCATAGAAATACATTATGAATGAATAACCCTAAAAGGGTTACCTTCAATTCTAATTTACTAAGTATCTGAAAATATTTCCTGAACTCAGCATTAGCTTTTGTTATACAACCTTGAAAATGTCACGTTTCTATGGGGTTAATTTCTCCTCAAGAGGTATTTGCTAATAGAATGGCTGTCTTGAGATACTGACACATGTCTTGCTCTCAACAATAATCAGTCCACATGCCTTGCATTATATTTTTTCTGGGATTTAAAAAAAATTGTGAAGCCTCTTGGATTACCTCAGTCAGCACAGCAGTGTGCTCATAGCCACAGCTGATGTAAGTCACACAGAGATTCCTCAGTGCACCAATCAAAACAGGCTTGGGGCTTTGATCTGCTGAAAGCAAGCGGATGTCTACAGTATAAGAAGCAGTTTCAGATTTCATGAATTTTTATATTGTATACATTTGTAATATTTTTATACTTCATCAACATGATTTATAAAGCAAACAATCAGATATATTATAAAATAGGTAATTAGCCCCGCTTTTTTAAAAACTGAGAAAAGCAATCCTTTAGCATTTATTTCTGGAAACTAGTCTGAAATGTCAAAGACAATTACCTTATACTTTAAGACCCTCATTTGAATAACATTGGCATCATATTTATTCACTTAATGTCACGTGGTACATAAATTAATGCAAATTTGTAATAAGTGAGAAAATAAAAGACCCACTTAGTTAATAGAATTTAATAAAAGGAGAACTAAAGACTCTGCAGTGTATGGTAGATAACAGCTGTTAAATACATGTTGTCAAATCCAGAGAATTTAACAGAAGTCAGGGGGATGAGTGGTAGAATTCATAAGTAGTTTTGTTTTAAAGATTATTAAAGACACCAGTTGTCTCTCCTACTGCCCAAAATCCTCTATCCAGTGCTTCCCAAACTTTGCTGTCCTTGGAATCACTACACATTCTGATTTAATTGGCATGGGTTTGACCTGGCATTGAAAACATGTCCTTATGGCAGAGGAATAATGGCCTCCCTAAGGCCTCTTATTATTGACTTTGAAGAATAAATGAGACTTTAAGTAAAAAATGCAGGCAGCTTTGTATAAAGGACTAGGGGAGAAAATAGTAATAATAATGAGCAACTATATACCAGAGACATTTTACTGGGGTGGAGTGGGGAATGTGTTCAAAAACGGTTGGGAGAGGGAAATGCACTGGGCTGTGGTGATGGCACACGGGTGATTTGGTGATGGGAAACCCATGGGGATTACAACTGAGGTGGAAAAAGGCACAAAATGATGCAAAAATAAACTATTATATCATTTTTAAACATGCAGGCAGTTTCAAGAAACTGGAAAAGACAAAATAAAATCAAAAAACAGTTTTTCTTCCAGAACCTTTATTGTAATCTATTGAGACCATAAAATAAGACATTCAACTATCAGAAGTAATAGATAACAAATCTGTGTTATTTTGAGTCACTAAGTTTGCAATAATTTGTTTCACAGCAATTTAAAAAATGAATATACCTCCCCGCTGCCCAATTTCAAATGGTTTCAAAGTTTTGAAACCATCCTTCTAAGCTTCAGACTGTCCTTTGCAGAACTGATCTTCCAGCTAAAAAGAAATCATGCTTTACTACAGACTGTTACCTGGGGTTTCATTCCCGCTGAGGCTCAGTTGCCCTGCATTGTTCCATCCCCAGCCAAATGAAGTGCCGGAGAGAGAGAGGGCAAAACTGTGGTTCCCTCCTGCAGCTACCTGAGTAACAGGGATCCCCAGGAGGGATCTCACCCTTTGTGGGGTAGCTTGGGAGGGGAGATCCATCTTCAGGCCCAGCTGCCCATATTTGTTGTTTCCCCATGAAAACACTTGACCATCTGCAAAAAAATAGAGAAATTCAGAATTGTACACACAATGGAAATTAAAGTAGAAAATACCAACCTAATTCTAAAAATCTTTAAAGCATAACAGTGATAAAGGAGACTAAGGTATTCTAATGAAAGATAAGGAGGATGCCCAAGAGATCATCTTCTAAAGTGTTGTGTTCCAACAAATCCCACCTACTTTTTCTCTCTCCAAGTTAAGGGCAACTGTTTTCTTTCAGTTACTCAACCGCAGACTTGAGAGGAAAGAATCAGCAAGGGGAAAGATACCACAGTGAAACATCGAAAAGGACCAAAAAAGAACTACTTTTTTTCTTTACTTTTGAATTTATTTATTTATTTATTAGACATTTATTTATTTATTTAGACATACAGAACTGGGGTACAAGCCAGAGGTACAGGAGCAGTGAGAAGATTCGCTAGGGACAGAGTGGGGAGCAGACCAGGCAGAGCAGAACAGGCAGATCCACAAAGTTCACTGCTGAGGGGAGCAGCAGGTGGGTCAGGAGAGGTCTGCTGTGCTGTGTAGATCACCTCCCGGGACTGGGGATAGAACTGGCACTGAAGCGGATGAGGCTAGCTTGCTGTGCTGTGTCCTAATCCATTGCGCCACCAGGTAGAGCCTACTTATTTATTTATTTTATTATAATAGTTTATGTTTACATCATTTTGTGCTTTTTTTTCATTTCAGTTGTAATCCCCAAGGTCTTCCCATCACCAAATCACCCTTGTACCATCACCATCGTCCCCGTGCACTCCCCCCGCCCCCATTTTTGATCCCATTCCCCTCTCCACCCCGGTAAAATGTCTCTGGTATATAGTTGTTCATTATTATTATTCCCGCCCCCCCCACCCCCAGCCCTTTTATGTTCCTGCTATGAGTGAAACCATTAGGTATTTTCTTTCTTAGACCAAACAACAACAACAACAACAACAACAACTTTAAGAAATAGAGATAACATAAAAGACTTAAGGGACAGCATCAAGAGATTTCCCTCCTTGACATTTGGAGAGAAGATAGATAAAGAATGGGGGATGTTAACAGACAAAAACAGTCATGATTTTGTCATCTTGATTTTCTCTCGCTCATTGGAGGGAAAAAGACAAACACTGAGTTTGCCAGTGTAGACAAATGATTCAGCATAAAAAGTGAAGTGCTGGCAATAGAGCGATTCTGAGTCAGCAATCAGGCCAGGTGAACAGTGATGGCCATTTTATGGCAATGAGATATGAATTATGCACTACCTAGAGCATAATAAGAACAAAGGAAGTTGAAAAAGAAATATAAAAAGCAACATATTTTGTAAGATCTGAAGAGTTAAAAACTTCCAAAGGTGTTAAAATGAACCCAAATAAGTTAAAATTCAACAGGTAGGGTCTTCCTGGTGGTGCAAAGGGTTAATTCTCAGAACAATGAACCTGTCACTAGCCACTGCAGCCCATTAGTAGCCAAGGAACTGACCCAGACGGCATCAGAGCTCTCCTGTCTGACCTGCTGGTCCCCTCAGTAGTGTATTTCAGTCAATCCACCTGTTCTGCTCCCCACTCTGTCTTTGGTGAATCCTCTTACCCTGCTACCTCTGACCTACACCCCAGTTCTTGTATGCATAAACACATAAAAAATAAATCTTAGGAAAAAATCATAAGATATCATTTCTATTGAAATGTTATTTCCTTATCACACTTAGGAGCCCTAAAAAGACTTTCATACCTTCTGATAATGCCAGGGAGTGGTGATGTCCACAGGAAACCTGTATTATTTTTATATCAGTGAGAAATTTTACCTTCCTGTAATGAAAAGGGAAAAAATTATTAATTCTTCTTTAGAGTGGGTCACCAAGTAGATACAAATAAAACTATCCCAGGTAATACATTTGATTAGGGAAACAATTTTATTTTCTTGATTTCTGTAGTATGTTTATTCCAAAACCTCCAAACTGTTTTTAATATAACAACCACATGCACAAAAGGTACCATGGTGAATCCAAAAGACTATATAATGCAAAATGCCTTTAGCTGAACTTCTAATGCATTATAAAATCACTAGCTTTCATCTTATCCTTATTGACCTAAAAGAAAAATAATGTCTTCATATATATAGGTAGCATAGGACTTTATAGAAAATAATATAGAACAACTAGCTTAAACCCTGTGAGAAAAAAAGAAACCATCAGATTGAATCCCATTAAGTTGCAATTTGTGTGAATAAAAAAAAATTGGCAATTTCATATGCTTGAATTTAATAGAACTGAAAAAAGTCACACAGGTATAAATTCATAGCACTAGACTCAAACCTTGGTCTTTTCATTCCATGTTCAATGATAAGAGATAATTTCATCTCTCATATAATTTCATATTGGAGAAGGCAACAAGATTTGGTAATTTCTCAGTATCAAAAAATGTGCTTTTGAAAATTCCCAAAGTGTGAAGTTCATGAATGCACTATTCAAGCTGTCATATATTCTTTGCTGCTCAAAGTCATTTTTGAAGATATTTCCTCCCTTCCCTCCAACTCCCCGCCATTTTACTAAGTAAAATACTAAGATTCGGTGGTTTATGACTAGTGACAAGATTGTGTTGAGAAAAAAACTCCTCTTCTAACTTGGGTCCAATCACTAGGGACACAGATGATTGGAGGAAAATCAAAGTTTATTTCCAAATGCATATGAGAGTTCCCAGGAATGGAAAACTTGTAGAATGGTCTGAATACATGGTTATTTATATCAACTTAGTATAAAGAGGGTTTTTAAGGACTGGAGTGGGAGAGTATAGATGGTTCGATGGGTTTTTTGGGAGCAAATTTGCCAATCTGGCTTCATAGTAGCTGAATTCAGAGGAAAGCTCACCCTCAGGAGGGTTAGTGCAGCTGTATTTGGAAGTCTCTATTTTATTCAACAGGTGAAGCTTTAAGATGAGAGATATCTTTCTGTATCTTTTGTAGTTCAGATGTTTTCATTTTCATTTTCATTTTCATTTTCATACCAACTCTGAGGTTTCAAGTAGGTCTCCACAGTTATTTCCAATAGAAAAACTTATGCTAGAGAGAGCAAAGAGCACAAACAACACACATCTCATTTCATCCCACCAATCTCCTTCATTGTTCTCTAATTAAATAATGGTGCTGTAAATTGCCTCTTCCTCCTTTAATACACTGTAATCCTTGAGTTTGCAGACTATGTTTGTCATAATCATCTTTATACCCTGCCATCTTATACTGTGCCTGAGACAGATAGAACTAAGAAATATTGACTGAATGACTGAATGAATGAATTGAATTACTTACATAGGTATAAAGCTTATTTCCTTATATTCTCCAGTCCCAAGCTGACCTTCGGAACCAGCTCCCCATGCAAAGACCCTTCCTTTTTGACAGACAGCCAGAGAGTGTTCCTTTCCACAGCTCACAAAACCAATACATAGAGTTTCAAATGCCTGAATTGGTGCTTTAGGAATAAAAACAAAATAAAAAACAAGTTTAAGACAGTACTCATCTTCAAAACAGAAGAATCATTTGAATTTCTATCTCTTCCAATGGACTTTTAAATCGAGAGCTAAGGTGCAAAGAAGTTAAATGTGTATTATACTGTTTTTATGGGAATGTAATCATGAATACAGGGTGTCTCTGGGGACACCAGAGACTGTGACTCTTGTTTCTCTCTGACAACAGTAGCAAAATCCAGCAAAAACTAAAGAGAACTTGAGAGAAGATGATCACCTCCACTCTCTTCTTTTGGGTCCCCAACCCTGGACAATAAGGATAGTAACTGCCCTGCAAAGGGGAAAACTATAAAAGGACAGATGCCAGTTCCTTACACATATGCTGTACTATGCCCCTAAGTGGGTCAAATATGACTGCAAATAATAATCTGACCACATCTGCCTACAAGTCAACCTACTCTGTTTTCCCAAAGTGTTTGTCTCTGAGTTTTTAGAAGGTACTCTGAGGTACTAGAGTTAAGAACACCATTATGATTGAAGCTTATGTTAACCCTGACGTTTTTTTTCTGATTCTTTATGATCGTATCCTTTTCAATGGTTTATTTTCAAACCATGCAACAATAAAAGAACATCCAGCGATTCATAAATCTATGCAGGTAGGAAGCACTCCACTTTCCTAGAGAACAATTTGATATTAGTATGATGTTGCCCTTATTTCTGCCCCAAAGGGAACTGGAAATGCCCCATCCAAACATGCTACTTTAGCATAGAATTATTTTGTTCTGAAAGCAATTGAGAATCAACCGACATAAGAAAAGGTCTCTGTAAGGTCTCTGTACTTCCCTTATCTACTTAAATGAAGGGCACAATTTTCCCTTTGTGAAGTTATTGCTTCATACTTTATCACAACAGTCAGGAGGGAGATAAATTTGCATAAATAGCTTTGATTAAAGTAGCCTTGTTTTTCACCAGTTTCCTTCATATGTTTTCAAATCACTTCCCCACGATTTCGCAGCCCTATAAACCCAAGCCCCACCCTCCTTTTTTTCTTTTTGGTTGAAATTATATAAGTTCCAAGTCAAACCACTTCTTGCATTTCACTGCCTTTCTGTGCACATAAAATAACAAAACTGCCTTTTCTATTATTAATCTTTGACAAAAAGAGTCTTTATTTAATTTGCATGCCCCCATGGAAAAGACCTAAGCAGGTAGAGGAAAGGTTCTCCCTTCTGGACAAATGTTTTGGAATTTATTCTAAGCAAGTAATGAGAAATCTGGTCAAATGTTTACTTATATCAGTCGAATTTCCCCAAAAGGAGAAAAATTACATCATGGCAATCGCAAAGCCTGAAAAGTAAAGCTTTAAACATGCATAATAAAATATTTATGATATTATTCTGTGTCGTGAAAACGCAATTTACAGTTGTATAAATACTGCGTATATAAAACTGCACAATGAAAATAATCTTTATAATGATTAGCCACATAACGGGGAAAGGCAAAAAGAAAATGAATCAAAATATTAGGAGTTGTCTTTGGGTGGTGGAATTATAGGTGATCTACAAAACCATTAACGGTAAAAATGCTGTTACGTATATTTTAATTTTAAGATAAAAGATGTCTCAGGGTATTTCTGAGAGCGTTACAGCTGTCAAACTCACTGAGCGCATCTGAACGATGACACCGTGAGATCTGCTCAAAGATGGGTCCCAAAAGGCGAGAGGGAGGGACGCCAACTTTGCCAGAGGAGTGCCCTGGGTTAGCAGCTCTCTCAGTTTCGCTTTGCCGAGGAACTGGAAAGTGAAACAAGCCCCGAGCGCTTCTGGTAAACGAAACTGATGAGGTCGCGCCCAGCATCCCAGAGCACCTTCTGCCCCTCTCATTTGGTCGGGAGGACTGCGGGCTCCCAGCACCCTCGCCAGTCTGCACTCCCGCGCGTCCCAGTGCCCCAGCGCTCACCCGGCTGCTTCCTGGACTGCACACCCTTCTGGCCCAGCTGGCCCTGACTGTTGTCCCCGCACGCGGAGATGGAGCCGTCGCTGTGCAGCAGCAGATAGTGGCGCTCCCCGCTGGCCGCCTGCAGCAGATTCTGGCGGATTGGGCCCCCGACTCTGCTGTGCCCCAGCGCACCAGAACCCGCGCGCCAGCAAAAGTACATCTCTCCGCCTGCCTGCATCTGTTTCTTCAAAAGCGCTGCTCTCGGGGCCGGCGGCGGTGGTGCGCTGATTTCTCTAACCGGATTGGATCTGGCTCTAGTATGACGTTGCGGTCCAACCCGACGGCAGGATTTCTGCCCTGGTGCCCTACGTCAACTGGACACCTCCCTGCTCCTGACTTGCAACGATCAAACAGACAAAGTAAGGGGAGAAGTGAGGGGCCCAGGAATGAAAAGTGGAATTTACTGCTAGAAGCCACATATCTATGCAATGTGGACAGTAATATGCAAGTCTAATACGTTAGAATCATGTCCCTAGAAGGTGCATACAGTGTCAGAATAATGCCTAGATGATGCTTCGTAAATGCATCATCCTGTCCACACTCTCTTAGGCTGGTTTTGCACTGGAAATGCAATAGTAAGAGAAAAAGAAAAGACAAATATTCATGGTGTTCTACATTCTCCTATTTTTTTTTAAGATTTATTTATTTATTCATACAGAACTGGGGTACAGACCAGAGATGCGGAGGGTGAGAGGATTCACCAGAGACGGAGTGGGGAGCAGAACGGTATTGAACTCACGCGGAAGTGGCTTTAGCTTCTTAGTACTGTGCTCTAACCCACTGCGCCACCAGGGAGGGCCTACATTCTCCTATTTAAAGCTGATAAATACTAATTATAAAATTGCACAATGGGGAAGAATAAAACAGTACAGAAATATAAAACAGTAAGGGGAGAAGGAATTAGTAATATTTTGGGCAAGGTATTAGGGAAGAACTCTGATGAAGTGGTAACTGAGCAGAGAGCAGAGGAGGACATGGACAGTGAGGAGCTGCATCATATCTAGGGGCAGAGGTAACAGAGAGCAGTTGGAAGGCCCTGAACAGAGAAGTGGACATGATCCATATGGAAAGAATCATCGTGGTTACCGCTGGGGTTGTCTAGGCCCAAAGGAAGGTGTGGGAACTTAGGTGATAAAGAGAGGGGAGGAGAAGAGAACATTGTCAGATTCAAGATGTTTTCAAGTGAAGTCTGCAGATTTGCCAATGGACAGGAAGTGAGAGGAAAGAAAAAGGGATTAGGATTACTGCAAGGTTGGCCCAAGCACTGGTGAACAGTGATACCCATCACTTGGATAGTGTTTTTTTTTTTTTTAAAGATTTATTTATTTGTGCATACAGAACTGGGGTACAGGCCAGAGGCTCAGGGGCGGCGAGAGGCTTCACCAGAGATAGAGTGGGAAACAGAACAGGCAGATGGACGAAGTACACTGCTGAGGGGAGCAGCGGGTGGCGGGTCAGGAGAGGTCTGCCACGCCATGTGGTCACCTCCGGGGCAGGCGGGAATCGAACTCATGCGGAAGCAGCTTTAGATTCTCAGTGCTGTGCTTTAACCCGCTGCACCACCAGGGAGGGCCACTTGGATAGTGTTTTATTGCAGGGAACTCAAATTATTGCTCAGAGACTGAGCACTGTAACTGTCTTTGTCAGTAATTGATTTAGCACAGGTCCCATGGGATATGCAGTGTTGTAATAACACAAACCAATAGCATATAAAATAATCTCTCAATAGGCTGGTACAAATATAACAGGATCCACAAAATAATAGATCAATTGCACCACTGATGCAGGTAGGGAATGTGGTGTGTGTGTGTGTGTGTGTGTGTGTGTGTGTGTGTGTGTGTGAGAGAGAGAGAGAGAGAGAGAGAGAGAGAAATAAAGCCCACATTGAGCTGAGGCGTACTGAAAAGATCTCAGAACAGTCTCCATCAAGACTTGTCACTACAGCATGCAGATTATTTCAAGCTAAGGTCATTTGAAACCTTATAGGCTCAAGAGAAACTATTACCATCTCCTTAGCTACCTAGATGAATGAAAATGAAGGGTTTTACCCAGATTTAGGATTAGCTCCAGAAATGACTCTATCAGAGAAAACCCTCTATGTCAGGACCATAACGTAGTTAATGAGCATCTGGCTTTCTTGGTCATATCATGTGAGCCTCCTCTTCTCTCTTTTGAGCCTTGGGCCCTATTGAGTCCCTAGCACAGGATATATACCCTTCTTTTCCTACTGAAAAATAAAATCCTCATAATCAAAGTAGATTTCCTATAAATAAACAATTAAATTGATTTTTTTCTCCTGCTAATCTGTCTGATGTTGCTCTGATTACTCACTCAGTCCAAGAAGAACCTAGGAGAGAAGGACATTTCCTTCTCCCCTATAGTATCTTTCTGGTTGGTACTCGGGCTTTTTACTAAGCCAATCAGGGATTAATGTCCACTTCCCAGGTCAAAGTACAAGTGTTTTGTTGCTAGAGCTTTGTGCTGAGGGGGAGAAGGCACTGTGTTTATAGGTAAGAGCTTAGGGGCAGCTGCCCATTTCCTACAAAGATTAGCTGTCACTGTAGCAGAGACTGCAGCAGGAATGGCTGTTGCCTCAAGGTCTTTGAAGAAATAGTTAGAGGAGGGTAGCTTTGCCTGGACCAAACATTTCATAAACTTTCAGTATTTAACGTATAAATGTCCACTGCACGGTGGACACCCTTGTCACTGTGATAGTATCAGTGACTTATGGTCCTCTGTGTGTTCATACTGATAAACACTTAGTAGCATCATGAGTTTCATTACTATACATATGTTCCTGTTGATAAGCACTCAGGAGCTTAACATTATTGCTGATATTACTCTGCACATGTTCATATTGAGAAGAAATTCCTTATGTCCAATTTTAAAACATTTTCATTAGTGCCTCCCTGGTAGCCTCGGGTTAAGTCTCAGTGCTATCACCACTATGGCCTGAGTTTGATAGTTTGATCCCCAGCCAGGGAGCTAACCCTGAAATGACTCAGAAGACCTCTTTTGTTCCATCCATGGTTTCCCTTAACAGTGTATTTCAGCAAATCTGCTCTGCTTCCCACTATGTCTCTAGTGAATTCACTTACCTCTCATACTACTGGCCTACATCCCAGTCTACACACATAGACACACACACACACACCACACACACACACATCTTAAAAAATAAAATAAAAACATTTTTATTGAAGCAATTTATTCAAAACAAGTTCAAACCATCCAAAACAAGGTTTTAAAATATGAATTTGAAATCTGAAATCAGTACACAACAGATGGGGAAACTGAGGGAGGTGCTAATTTGGGAAGGTGGACCATAAGCCAATCTGATAATAACAGTAAGATGTTTGTAATAGAAGTGAAAGCACATCAACCATTTTGTAGTGGAGAGAAGTCACAATGGAGTCACTAACTTCAGACTTGATACTTAAACCAGATGGCTGAATGAGGGGATCCAAGAAGTGAGAGTGGCTAAAACCCAAGAGCTAATCTTAAGAGGAAATTCAGGAGGAGTGGAATGCCCAAGCCAGTGAAGCATGCATGAGGAACCTATCAACTCTGTCAATGGCTGTGGAGAAGGATAAGGGTTGTGTGCAGTTCTTTAGATTTGGCAAAGTGGAGGTCACCGATGACTGAAAAGTTGACCATCATCAGTATTGTTTTATTTATGATACAGGTCAGTGAGAGGCACTAAAACGGGCCAAATAGTTTACCAGTTACCATCTGAGTTCTTCACCTGTGTGCACAATTGCAAGACTACTCAGGTTTAGAGAACACCAATAATGGGATTTAACAAACTGGGGAGAAGCAAAGAGTTACTGAGGCCAAAAGTGGCCATTTACCTCATCCAAAGCAGTATCCTTTTTTTTTTTTATTTAATTTTTTAAAAAAGATTTATTTATTTATGCATACAGAACTGGGGTACAGGCCAGAGGTGCAGGAGTGGAGAGAACCTTCACCACAGATAGAGTGGGGAGCAGAACAGGCAGATCACAAAGTATACTGCTGAGAGGAGCAGTGGGAGGGTCAGGAGAGGTCTGCCACGCCATGTGGTCACCTCTGGGGCAGGTGGGGATCAAACACATGCTGTCGTAGCTTTAGTTTCTTAGTGTTGTGCTTTAACCTGTTGTGCCACCAGGGAGTGCCCAGTATCCATTGTTTTAAGTCTTAAACACCAATGATCCTAAGATGGCATCTTCCCACCATTGAGGATGTGGAGACTCCCAAGATGGTGTCTTCCCATCAGTGCAGACATGGAGCACGTGGAAGCCCGACTGAAGGCCAGGTTTCAACTCTCAAAGGCAACAGAAGACACAACAGGAGATGTTTAGCAACAGGAGATGTTTAGTGGAGCTGCCAAGATGCCCCCATAGAGCAGGAGACAAGCAACACTCAAAACAGCAGCTGCAGTGGCTAAACAAACTGACAAATGGCCGCACTCACAGCTCAGCCAGGCTCCCGACTCCAGGTCTTCACCTTCCCTGACAGGCTGTAACAGCAAAAAAAACTAGGAACAGTTTTAGTTGCTTGTTACTTGCAAAGCCCCCGAACTTTTCTTTTCTGAGGTTGGTTGCTGGAAGCTTTTTTGGAGTACTTCAGAGACCTGAAAAAGCCTTCTGGAAGATTGGCATGGTAGGGGCAGAAATCACTGACCTGGACTTACTGAAGACATGAAATCCTGAAGACTGAATCCTGGGGGCTGCCCCACAGTCCTCTGTTGCCCTCACCCCAGGACATCTGGTGTGGGGACATCTTAGCAACTCTGTTAAACATGTGTATTTATGAATGCAAGAGATGGGGTGTAAGCCAGAGGTGTAGTGATGAAAGGATTCACCAGAGACAGAGTGGGGATAAGAATAGATGGAGCTACTGAAACATATTGCTGAGGGGAAGCAGCAGGCCAGACAGGAGGAGTCTGCTCCCTGGAGGAGAGGGTAGGGGAATTGAATTTATTCACAGTGGTGATAGCTTGATAATGCTTAGACTTTTTAACTCCTGCACCAACAGGTAGGTCCTGCAACAGTTTTCTAAGTATCCTAAATATTTATTTTCTTCCTCAGCTATAAACTCTCAGAGTTTGATTTCTTCAGCATAAGTCATTGAGCTCTCACATATTTTGTTTATAAAAAATCTATTGGGGGCCCGCCCTGGTGGCGCAGCGGGTTAAAGCACAGCCCTGAGAAGCTAAA